CTCCATCCTCCCTGCCTCCCTGGTGTCCCCCCTTACATCCCCTGCACCCTGATATGGACTCTGAGGAGCCTGTGTGCCCCCCCATTCTCCCCCCCACAGAGTACTAGTGAGTCCTCCCCTCCCCCACAGTCCCTCCTGCACCCCCTGGGCACTGATTCCAGGCCGTCCCCGCGGCTGCCCCTGCCCACGGCCCTCTGCGTGCTTCAGCTCCTGTACACAGTGTGGGATCCACACAGCCAGCACCTCGATCCTCATCCTTTGTACACACTTAAATTCCCTTTATCTGTGTTGAAATGATTGCTCCAGGCCCTCCTGTGCACTGGAACAGGAAGTGAGTCCTGTAACTGACACTGCATCTGTTGGCCACGCCCCTGTGGTCCCGTGTTCCTGTGTTCCATGCAGAGGGAGACCACAGAGTGCAGGGCTCTGCTGCTGGCTTCTCTCTCGCATCATTGTAGGCTCCTCCCCGTGTGGCAGGTGTCGGAGGACCCGGCTTTGATGCCTGAGCAGCGCTCAGCTGTGCATGGCTCCCTGATTGCTTGTTTCTTCCCATGTGCCCCTGCTCTCCCTGCTGTGCTGGGGGTGTGGAAGGCCTCACCCATAGTAGGGGCATGGCCTTGGCAGCCTCCTGTGGGCAGTCACCAAGGATAAAGGGGAGGAGATTCAACACAAGTGGTTAGGAGTGAGGGTACCTGTGGCCATGGGTCTGTGGCTCCTGACTTGTCATTTTGCACATTTTTTAAGAGGTAGAGTTACAGAGAGAGGGAGAGACAGAAAGAAACGTCTTCCATCCTCTGGTTCACTCCCCAGTTGGCCGGAACAGTCAGAGCTGGGTCGATCTGAAGCCAGGAGCCTGGAGCTTCTTTTGGGTCTCCCACGAGCGCACAGGGGCACAAACACTTTGGCCATTTTCCACTGCTTTCCCAGGTGCAACAGCAGGGAGCTGGATGGGAAGTGGAGCAGCCAGGACTCAAACTGGCACCAATACGGGATGTTGGTACCGCAGGCGGAGGCTTAGTCTACTGCGCCACAGTACCGAGCCCGAACATTTTGAACTGTACATCAAATCAGGGAAGTTTCCATTTCCATGTTCTTTTCATTGCTTCCTTTATTTATTTATTTCCAAAATATTTTTTATGTGAAAGGCAGAGCTACAGAGAGGGAGGTAGAGGGAGAGATGGAGAGAGAGATCGTCCATCTACAGGTTCACTCCCCAAATGGCTGCAAAGGCTGAGACTGGGCCAAGCCGAGGCCAGGACCCTGAGACCTCATCCAGGTCCCCCCATGGGCGACAGGGACCCAGCACTTGGACCTTCTTCCACTGCTTTCCTGGGTGCATCAGCAGGGAGCTGGATCAGGAGTGGAGCAGCTGGGCTGGAACTGGCGCTCACATGGGAACCTGGTGTCCAGGGTAGCAGCTTAACCTGCTGCGTCCCAATGCCGGCCCCCTTTTCATTGTTCTTATTTCAGCCTTTGAGCGCCTGTCTTCCAGCTGACACTGACATACATAAAAGCTGGCTGTGCGCTGTAGTCGGCCACTGAGCCCGGATCCCTGGGCCCGACCCCTCCACGCAGCGGTGTTAGCCCCATTGTCCCATCCCAGCCCCCACGCCTTCCCCGTCCCAGTGACCCCGCTGTGCATTCAGACAGGTGGTCTGCTTGTTCAGTCCCACGTTTAGGGGAGCGGGAGGTGCCTCCTTCCACAGCTGACACTGCGCTGACATAAACGTCCCCACTCCCGCCCGGATGCTGCTGGCGATAGCATTCGCCTGTGTCGGGGAGTAACAGCAGCTATGCTGCTTAAAGAAATGAGGTAGTTTATTTTTATTTACTTTTGTAAATAAATGTAAATGTTTCAGAAAGATTCTAGTTTTAATTCTTAAGGTCATCCACACTACTTTTCATAAGGCCACTCCCACAAACACTGTGCAAACATCTTTCTCCTAAGTCTTCAGCTTTCACTTTTAAAAAGCATTTATTTATTTATTTTTTTTTTTGACAGGCAGAGTGGACAGTGAGAGAGAGAGACAGAGAGAAAGGTCTTCCTTTGCCGTTGGTTCACCCTCCAATGGCCGCCGCAGCCGGCGCGCTGCAGCCGGCGCACCGCGCTGATCTGATGGCAGGAGCCAGGAGCCAGGTGCTTTTCCTGGTCTCCCATGGGGTGCAGGGCCCAAGCACCTGGGCCATCCTCCACTGCACTCCCTGGCCACAGCAGAGAGCTGGCCTGGAAGAGGGGCAACCGGGACAGAATCCGGCGCCCCAACCGGGACTAGAACCCGGTGTGCCGGCGCTGCTAGGCGGAGGATTAGCCTAGTGAGCCGCGGTGCCGGCCTTTATTTATTTATTTATTTATTTGAAAGGCAGAGTTACAGAGAGGCAGAGGCAGAGTCTTCCATCTGCTGGTTGACTCCCTAAATGACCACACCAGTTGGAGCTGTTCTTATCTGAAGCCAGGAGCTTCCTCTGGGTCTCCCACGGGGCTTCAGTGGCCCAAGCACTTGGGCCGTCTTCTGCAGCTTTTCCAGGTGCATTAGCAGGGAGCTGGATCAGGAGAGGAGTAGTCAGGCCTCTAACTGGTACCCTAATGGGATGCTGGCACCGCAGGCAGAGGCTTAACCTTCTACACCATAGCGCCGCCACATAAGGGTCTAATTTTGTGCTGCATGTGATTATCTAGTGTTCCCATCACCATGTCCTTTCTTCAGTGTGTGTTTTGATATCCTTGTGAAAGGTCACTTTGCTGTAAATTGAAGGATATTTTTCTGGGCTTCCAATTATTTTCTATGTCCATGTGTCTGTTCTCATGCCAGCACCGTGCCATCCTGGTTGTATAACTTAGTAGTGTGATCTTCAAAATGGTTACGTACGGGGCCAACGTTGTGGCGTTGCAGTTGAAGCCACCGCCTGCAGTGCTGGCATCCCGTGTGGGTTTTGGTTTGGGTCCTGGCTGCTCCACTGCTGATCCAGCTCCCTGCTAATGCACTGGGAAAGCAGCAGAGGGTGGCCAGAGTCCTTGGGCCCTGCACCCACGTGGGAGACCTGAAGGAAGTGCTGGGTCTTGATTTTGGTTCAGCCCAACTCAGACTGTTGCAGCCACTTGTGGATTAAACCAGCAGATGGAAGACCTTTCTCTCTCTCTCTCTCTCTCTCTCTCTCTCTCTCTCTCTCTCCCCTCTCCCTGTCTATAATTCTGCCTCTCAAATAAATACAAAACCCTTTTTTAAAAAAAAGAAAATCCAGGGCCGGTGCCACAGCTCATTAGGCTAATCCTCTGCACACACGCAGACCTGCTCGCCCCAGACTGAATCCTCATGGCGTCCCAGGGGCTCCTGCACAGCAAGTCCCGGCCCCCAGTGCAGGACGTGGCCCCAGACCCGCGGCCGGCTCTGCCTTGTGCTCGCTCCTGTCACTGACGCTGCACGGCCACAGCTGGGCCTGGGCCCTTTCTCTTCCCAGCCGCCCCCTCCCTCGGTGACTGCGTCTCTGCTCAGGACTGCAAACCCCATTCACACGGTGCCCCTCGCCGTCTACTTCTCCAGCCCAGACTTTTCTCCTAACCCCATCCTGAGGCCCAGCTGCCAGCCCCACAGTGTCAGCCACATTCCCAACAGGCACCTGGGCTCCAGGTACCTGCATTGACGCCTGGGCCGCCCCCTCCTCAGATGCCCCTCCCACTGTCGCCCCCTCTCCCCCAGAAAAACCCCTCCTCCTGCAGTCACGGCTCCTTGACCGCCCTCTCTCAGCCTCTGGTGCCGTCCTCGAGGCAGCGTCGTGAGTCCATCTTCAGAAGGAGCCGGAAGCTCCTCTCCCACTCCTCCCACCCCCGCCCCAGCGCGGTAGCCGCCTCCCCAGTCTGGGCTCCGCCGGGCTGCAGACTTCCTCCCTGAAGCCTTGCTGGCCTCTGCGCCCCACCCTCCCCCAGCAGCCACGTGGTCCTGTAAGGGAGCAGCTGAGCCACGCCCCTTCCTGCTCAGAGCTCTCCCAGCTCCCAGCTCACTTAGAGCAAGGGCAACACCCTGTCAGTGTGCACATGACACCCACACACACACACTCCTGCCCCAGGACATTTGCACTGGAGGTTCCCTGCCTGCAAAGGACTTGCCCCAGATGAATTTGCAGATGACTCCTCATGTCCCTCAAATGTCTTCAAGGCCACTGTCTCAGTGGGGTCTTTGCAGCCCCCGCACCCACGCAAGGCAGCCACTTTCTCTCTCTCACGTCCACTCTGCACCACCTCCCCCACGCACTAACCTCCTACCCTGAGCGCTCTCCCATTGCTCTGTCCAGAGCCCATCAGCTGCCTCCTCCCGGGAATGCAGGCTCCACAGGGCCAGCAGCTTCTGCCTCCCTCAGGGCTGCAGCTCGGGTGTCATGGGCGGGGCCCCCAGCACACAGCACCTGCAGTGGAGCTCCGCCCCCTTCCTGCTGCTGCTTTATCAATGGAGCCCAGGTCAGCTGCAGCCTGAGGCAGCCACAGCCCCGCCCCCTCACCCTGCTGTCACCAGGGCCCTCACAGGAACAAGGGCAGTGTGAGCAGCCAAGGAAATGAAAAATAAATGAACGCGGGAAAGATGGGGGCCGTGGCTGGGCCCAAGCCTGAGCTCAGGCTGCCCAGGCACAGGAAGCCGTCCCGGCTGTGGGTCCCAGGAACAGGACCTCCTGGGGCCGTGGCTGAGTCCAGTGAGCACAGGCGGGGGAGGGTGCACAACCTTCCACTGGAGACGAGGACGGGGCAGGGACCACAGCGACCGCAGTGCCCGGATGGACTCAGCACCCAGGGCACAGCACTGTCCTCACTCAGTGCCTCCTGGACCCTCCCAGCCCCACCTGCAGCACACTCAGCACAGTAAGCACATGGGTTCTGGAAGGTTCTAGCGCTTCTATTTTTTTTTAAGATTTTTTATTTATTTATTTGACAGGTAGAGTTACAGACAGTGAAAGAGAGAAAGGTCTTCCTGTTGTACCTGAGCGAGTGTAAACAAAGGAGCTCCACACATTGATAAAATTTGATGGTCCTTTATTGCCGGCAGTGGAGAGTGGGCTAGTGCCCTAAAGAACTCTCGACTCTGAAGCCCAAAGCAACAGGGTTTATAAAGGCAAAAACCGCAAAATCAGGAGGGGAATACATGGTTGCTAGGATCAGGGGGAACATATGGTTACTGGGGTCAAGCTGACCTAAAACCTATGCAAAACTAGTATCAGTTATAATCTTGACAATACCAGTTACAATCGTAACAATTCCAATTATAATCTTGACATTAATCCAGGCATTGGCTTTAATCATATGTAGGACATAGACAAATTACATTTTTATCATTAACCCAGGTGCAGCCTATCCACTTCCAAGCTTGAGCAATCATGCTAGGGTGGTTTATGCTCTGCCAAGTGTGATGTAGTAGACTGCTATTGTTCAACTGTTTTAGATCATAGTTTCAGACCACAGCCTCATGGTGTGTGTTAGGAAACTGGCACAGTTTTAGCCAGGTGGCCGCATGGCCCAGCTACCTGAGCCAGGCTCCACCCCCATCCTAATGGGATTCCCTGCTCCTGCTTCCCTGCCCGTCCTCAGGCAAAGTTTTAAAAGGGCCTGTTCCTCTCTTGGCTCTTAGTTCTTCTCTCTTGGCTCTGCTCTCTTGGTCCTTCTCTCCTGCGCTCTCTTGGTCTCTCTTGGCTTCTCTCCTCCTCTCATCTCTCTTCTCTCTCTCTCTTATACTTTCTCTCTCTTTCCCTTCGCCGCCCCTTCCCTCCAGCCTGCTGGGTTTCCCCCAATAAACCCTTTCCCTTACTCTGGTGTCCGGTGTGTTTTGTGAGTGCCTAACATTAATATATAACAGTGTGTGGAGGGGGGCACCTTCCCAGAATGGAGTCTCAGGTTCTCCAAAATGGAGTCCCTACTGTCAAGGTGTTACTTCATGCCTTCTATTGGTTCACCCACAAAGTGGCCGCTACAGCTGGTGCTGCGCTGATCCGAAGCCAGGAGCCAGGTGCTTCCTCCTGGTCTCCCATGGGGTGCAGGGCCCAAGCACTTGGGCCATCCTCCACTGCACTCCCTGGCCACAGCAGAGAGCTGGCCTGGAAGAGGGGCAACCGGGACTAGAACCCAGTGCCCACATGGGATGCCAGCGCCACAGGCGGAGGATTAGCCAAGTTAGCCACGGCACCAGGCCCTACTGCTTGTATTTATTTCCTTTCTCAAATTTTAGGAATCTCCTCATTTAATTAACTCACACACACACCACATGACAAGAATTGGAAAAATAAATCGTTGTTCAGATGAATGAGGAAGGAGCTGCAGCGCAGTGCACAGGATCTGAGACAGGACGGAGACGCCCACACGGGCAGGCGGGCCTGGAGCTGATGCGCTCAAGGTGAGCCGGGCTCTGAGGACAAAGACGGAGCCTGCACGAATCTGCATCGCTCAGTCCCACACAGGCCATGGTCTCACGCTATAGAAATATCCAGATAACAAGTTCAGATGAGCAGTGCACACGGGGACATGAGCAGCCACCACCACGGCCCATTCAAGGAATCCCCAGACCCACGGTGTCCCCTCTGCCCCACCCCCTCCCAAGCAGGCCTCCAGGTCTCACGTTTCACAGATAGGAGAGAATCATCAGAGCCCTGGTCCCTGTGGCCACCTGGGGTGAACAAATCAGGACTTGGTGAGGCCCACGGGGACGTGGCTGAGGGAGGAACGGGTGGGCGGGCAGCGTCTCCATGGGCTTCTCACTGTGGCAAGGGTCTCAGTGAACCCCACCCCCACCACACCCCAGCACTTACCTGCAGCCGGAGCGTATTTCCCTCCTTTCCCATCTGTGAGAAGAAAACACCTTGTGAGAGCCAGGGAGGAGGCAGGGCCTGAGCACCCACCTAGAGGAAGCCCAGAGCACTGGCTCATCCTACAGAAGCTTCCAGAACTGTGGCTGTGGGACAGGAGACCCCGCCCCTGGAGCCCTGTCCTCAGCTGGGGCCGCCCCCTGCTCTGCGGCTGCTGGCACTCAGCTCCCATCACCAGCACCAGCCCAGGAAAGATTCGTCCTCATCTTCCCTTGTGCTTTACAGAGAGCCCAAGTTAGCACACAGGGCCCAGCCTGGGTGTGCAGTTGGGTGTGGACTGGGTGTCCCAAGAATGGGGCAGGTGCACTTCTCCCTGACAGAAAGTCCCCCAGGTACAAGAGACTCAGACCCCACCCTCCCCTCCCCTACCTGAGCTGAGCTTCCTCCTCATCACAACAGCGACCACAGCTCCCAGGATCAGAAGAACTCCAAGAACTCCAGCAACAATTCCCACTATGAGCGCGGTGGGCTGAGCAGGAGGCTCTGAGAGGGAAGGGGAGGTGAGGGGCTCTGACCCCAGGGCTCAGCCCTGCCCCTGCTGAAGGCCCCAGCAGGGCTCTGCCCTCCCCTCAGAGGCCCCGCCCCTCCTGCCCTCCTCACCCCATCTCAGGGTGAGGGGCTCGGGCAGCCCCTCGTGCTGCACACGGCACGTGTATCTCTGCTCCTCCCCAGAAGGCACCACCACAGCCGCCCACTTCTGGAAGGTTCCGTCGCCCCCAGGCCTGGTCTCCACGAGCTCCGTGTCCTGGGTCTGGTCCTCCCCATCCCGCTGCCAGGTCAGTGAGATCTCCGCGGGGTAGAAGCCCAGGGCCCAGCACCTCAGGGTGGCCTCCTTGTCAGAGGCGGGGTGGTGGGTCACGTGGGCTTTGGGCGGGTCTGAGAAGAAGAGGCAAAAGGTCAGACACTCTGCATTTCTAGGGACTTCCCAGCAGTGCCATGTGACACTGGGAGAGTTGACAGGATCATGTGGGGCAGTGAGGGCTGTGTAGTACAAAACCCCCACATGGCCTGGACACAGGCATCAGGGCTAATATCCTACTGCTTGGAAAGTTCTGAGTGAGAGGTGAGAAGGCCCAGGGTCCACGGCTCCCAGTCCCTGGGAGGGGATGGGGCAGGATTCTATTCTTGACCTAGGTGGAAACCAACGTTGGATTCAGATGTCAGACCACCAGAGACCCTGAACACGGGGCAGAGAACAGGCCCGAGAGCCGCTTTCCCAGGGTTCCCAAGTCACAAGGACGGTCTCCCCTAGAACTCCTGCGAAGGGCGGGTCTTCTGAAAATCACTCGGTACAGGATCTGGAAACCTGGGCACGCTCCTCCCTCTCGGCATCCCAGAGAGGAGCTGCACCGGCCTCAATTCTACCTTCCACTACACCTTCTCGGGCTGCAGGTGTGGCCGCCGCCCAAGGGGAGCTGAGCCAGTGGCCCCGGGGGCCCCGCACACCTGCGCGCTGCAGCGTCTCCTTCCCGTCTTGCAGGTATCTGCGCAGCCACTCCACGCACTCCCCCTCCAGGTAGGACCTGTGGCGCTCCGCCTCGCTGGCTTCCTCCGATTTGCGCTTGGAGATCTGCGCTGCTGTGTCCGCCGCGGTCCAGGAGCGCAGGTCCTCGTTCAGGGCGATGTAGTCGGCGCCGTCGTAGGCGAACTGCTCGTACCCGCGGAGGAGGCGCCCGTCCGCCCCGACCTCGCAGCCGTACATCCACTGGAGGGTGTGAGACCCTGGCCCCGTCCCGCGGTCAGCCCCGGCCGGTCAGCCTCCTGGCGGTCAGACTGCCCGTACAGACCCATCCCCTGCCAGCCCAAACTGAAAACGAAACCAGGGCGAAGCTCCGCGGTCCAACCGGTTCTCTGGGTAAAGGGCGGACCCAGAGACTCTGGGGGACTCCGGCCCGTCCCTGGGGGGTGAGGACGACCCAGACCCAGCAGCACTCACCGGTGTCGCTCTGGTTGTAGTAGCCGCGCAGGGTCTGCAGGTTTACTCGGAAAGAAAGCGCGGTGTTCTTGGCGCGCTCGGTCTGCCGGTCCCAGTACCACGGCTCCACCTGCTGCATCCACGGCGCCCGCGGCTCGGCCCTCGGGCTCGCGGCGTCGCTGTCGAAGCGCACGAACTGCGTGTCGTCCACGTAGCCCACGGACATGAAGCGCGGCTCCGGCAGGCCGGGCCGGGACACTGCGGTGGTGAAATACCGCAGGGAGTGCGAGCCTGGGATCGGGAAAGAGCGGCTGAGGCCCGGGCCGACCCCCTCCTTTGTTGACACTTGGTCGACGGGGCGGGTGGGGACCAGGCGGAGGTGGGGGAAAGGAGGGTCTTAAACGTGGGCAGGGGGAGGTCAGGGCGGGTTCAGGGTTGGGGTGTTGGATGACAGGGGCGGAAACGCAGCGGCCAGGTCTGCGCGGTCCCCACGCTCCTGCCCCGCAGAGACCGTCTCCCTCCCGACCCCGCACTCACCTGTCCGGGTCTCGGTCAGTGTTAGGGCCCCCGCGAGCAGCAGGAGGAGGGCCCCGCACTCCATGGTCCCATACTCCCGGTAGAGGCAGTCACCGTCGCGGCGCGGGGATTTCAGACCTGCGGTGCCGATTGGCTCCTCTGGAAAGGACGCCCAATGGGAGTGAGACCTGGGCTCGCGTCACGAGTGTCAGGGCAGAAGAACCCAACCCAGGTTGTGTTGAGAAAGCGAAACTTGGGAACGCAGGGACTCCCCGCTTTGGGCTTCCTCGGCCCAGACTTGGGCCCTTGGACCGAACCGGCTGCTCCGCTTCCGACCCAGCTCTCTGCTGTGGCTTGGAAAAGCAGTGGAAGATGGCCCCTGCACCATGTGGGAGACCAGGAGGAAGCTTGGCTCAGCTCCGGCTGTTGGGGCCAATTGGGGAGTTAACCAGTGGATGGAAGACTCTCTCTCTCTCTCTCTCTCTCTCTCTCTCTCTCTCTCCCCCCTTCCCCCATCCTCTGTCTCCGTCTCTCTCTAGCTCTTTCAAGTACATAAACAAATCTAAAAAAAAAGCTGAAACTACTGCCACCTGCCTCCCCGCTTCTGTCCATGGGTTCATAGTTCATATTTGCACTTCTCTTAACTGCATTAGCTATTACTGTTCCAGCAGGACATTTGAAAGTGAAACTGGCTTTTCTCCTCCAACAAGAAGTGCTGTGGAGAATGGAGTAGCCTCTTTGTCTCCTCTTAAAGCGCCAGAATCCCTCTCCCAGAGCTGGGCTCCATACCTTCCAAAAGGTAGGGTACCGCTCTGCCCCCTGGGTCTTTCTAGAAAAAAGTTATCCCCCGAAAATCTGATGCAGAGTTTTTAAAAATTTCTTTTTTTAAAAGGACTTATGGGGCCAGCACTGTGGTGCAGTAGGTTAATCCTCCGCCTGCGGCACTGGCATCCCTTATGGACGAGGGTTCTGGTCCCGGCTGCCCCTGTTCTGATCCAGCTCTCTGATATGGCCTGGGAAAGCAGTAGAAGATGGCCCAAGTCCTTGGGCCCCAGCACCCACATGGGAGACTGGGGGAGGCGCCTGGCTCCTGGCTTCAGATTGGCACAGCTCCAGCTGTTGTGGTCATTTGGGGAGTGAACCAACAGAAGGAAGACCTTTCTGTCTGTCTCTCCCTCTCACTGTCTGTAACTCTGCCTTTCAAATAAAAATAAATAAAATCTTTTAAAAAAGGATTTATTTATTTATTTGAAAGGCAGAGTTACAGAGAAGGCGAGGCAGGAGCAGAGAGAGAGAGAGAGAGAGAGGTCTTTCAATCTGAAGCCAGGAGCCAGGAGCTTCTTCGGGGTCTCTGTCAGTGCAGGGGCCCAAGCACTTGGGCCATCTTCTTGCCTTCCCAGGCCATAGCAGAGAGCTGGATCAGAAGTGGAGCAGCCGGGTCTGCACCTGTGCCTACATGAGATTCCTGTGCTGAGGCTGTGGCTTTATCCATTGTGCCACAGCACCAGCCCCTAACTTTCTTTTTAAAATTTTAATTAGTTTTTGACACATTCAATATAGTTCATAAATATAATTCTACAAATATGATTATATTCCCTTCCTCTCTCCTTCACTCTGTCACTTCTTCCTACCTCTTGTTTTATTTCAGTTTTTGAGATAATATATTTTAAATTTACATTCTGAGGCCAGCGCTGTGGCATAGCGGGTAAAGCCGCTGCCTGCAGTGCTGGTATCCCATATGGGCACTGGTTTAAGACCCAGCAGCTCCTCTTATGATCCAGCTCTCTGCTATGGCCTGGGAAAGCAATGGAAGATGGCCCAAGTCCTTGGGCCCCTGTACCCACGTGAGAGACCAGGAAGAAGCTCCTGGCTCCTGGCTTCAGATCAGCCCAGCTCTGGCTGTTGTGTCCAATTGGGGAGTGAACCAGCAGATGGAAGACCTCTCTCTCTGCCTCTGCTCTCTCTGTGTAACTTTGACTTTCAAATAAATAAATAAATAAATAAATCTTTTTTTTTTTTTCTTTTTTTTTTCTTTTTTTTTTTTTTTTTTTTGACAGGCAGAGTGGATAGAGAGAGAGAGACAGAGAGAAAGGTCTTCCTTTTGCCGTTGGTTCACCCTCCAATGGCCGCCGCGGCCGGCGCGCTGCGGCCGGCGCACCGCGCTGATCCGATGGCAGGAGCCAGGAGCCAGGTGCTTTTCCTGGTCTCCCATGGGGTGCAGGGCCCAAGCACCTGGGCCATCCTCCACTGCACTCCCTGGCCACAGCAGAGGGCTGGCCTGGAAGAGGGGCAACCGGGACAGAATCCGGCGCCCCAACCGGGACTAGAACCCGGTGTGCCGGCGCCGCAAGGCGGAGGATTAGCCTAGTGAGCCGCGGCGCCGGCCAATAAATAAATCTTTTAAAAAATTTACATTCTGTAAGAAGGCACAGCTCCAGCCACTGCGGCCAACTGGGGAGTGAACCAGCGGAAGAAGACCTCTTTCCTCTCTCTCTCTGTCTCCTCTTCTCTCTGTGTGTAACTCTGACTTTCAAATAAGATAAATAGATCTTTTTTAAAAAACTGTATTTGCAGCAATGTTAATACACACAGGCATTTCTTTTTTTTTTTCTCTTTAGTTTTAGTTCCCACATATAAGGGAGAACATGTGGTTTTTGTCTTTCTGCATCTGGCTCTTTTCACGCAACATGATCTCCTGTAGTTGTGTTTATTTTGTTGCAAATGGTAAAATTTCATTTTATTATAGGCGAATAATATTCCATTTTATATATATATTTACCACATTTTCTTTATCCATTCATCTGGTGATAGACACCTTGATTGAGTCCAAATTTTGCCTATTGTGAGCAGTGCTGCTATAAACATGTGGTGCAGGTATCTCTTTGATACATCGTGGTCAAGGCTTTTGAGTATCTAACCAGTAGTGGGATTGCTGGGTCATATGTCAAGTCTATTCCTAGTGGGATTGCTGGGTCATTTGTCAAGTCTATTCCACTGTTTTCCACAGTGGCTGCACTAATTTACATTCCCACCAACAGTGTGTAGGTGTTCCCCTTTGTCTACATCCTCACCAGCGTTTGTTAGTCTCTGTGTTTTGGATTTTAGCCATGCTGACAGGGGTGAAGTGGTATCTCATTGTAGTCTTGATTTGTATTTCCCTGATGGCTAGTGATGTTGAACAGTTATTCATGCATTTGTTGGCCATTTGTATTTCTTCTTTTGAAAACTGGGTCTCTTGCCTATTTCTTAACTGGATTTTTTGTTTTTTTTTTTCTTATTGAATTTTTTAAGTTGCTGATATATTCTGGAGATTAATCCTTTGTCAGGTATGTAGCTTGCAAATACTTTTCCCATTCAGTTGGATGTCTCTTCACTCTATTGATCATTTCTGTTGCTGTGCAGAAGTTTCTGAGTTTGATATATTTCCATTTGTTTAGATTTGCTTTTGTCCAAGAAGTCGTCCTTGTGCTTCTTGTCCAAGAAGTCGTCCCCTATATCAATGTCTTGGAGTGTTACCCTTACATTTTCTTCTAGCAACTTCATAGTCTCAGGTCATAGACTGACGTCTTCGATGCATTTTGAATTTATTTTTGTATATGGTGAGGGGTAGAGGCTTAATTTCATTCTCCTAAATATAGGCATCCAGTTTTACCAGCACCATTTGCTGAAGAGATGATCCTTACTCCTCTGTATGGTCTGAGTATTTTTGTTGATACCAGAGCTTTTGAGATGGAGACTCAGTTATTGCCTGTTTGGAACTAGAAATATTTTGTGCCTGAAGGCACCAGACAGAGATTCACTGTTGACTACTTTGGGTTTTATTACACAGCACCTTAAATTATACCTGCTCACAGACAGTGGAGATTGGTGAAATCTGTGGGAGAAATAACATGGGCTCCCTCATTAATGTCTCTAAGTGCACTCAACTTGAGGCCCACAGGGCATCAACAGAAGTGTTGTCCATATACAGAACTTTGTATGATGAAGGACTGTTCTGTGTCTGGGCTGTCTACTATGGCAGCCACTAGGCATGTGGATGTTGGGCACTTTAAATGTGACTGGTATAACAGAACTTTCAATTTTGTTTATTCAGTTTAAATAGCCACATGTGCCTATTGGTCATCATATTTGACTGCAAGTCTAGAGTGTTCTCAGTTTTTAATCTTCCTCAAAATATACTGTGGGACTCTTTGTATATTAAAATTGTCTTCATATGGAAGCCGTGGGTTTGTTTATGTGGGTGTTGGACATAGTCTTGAAGTACAGTATGCCCAACAAAGTTTAATTAATGTTTTAATAGTGAGAGTATACAAACATTAACCAAAACATGTAATAAACCTCAAAGTTGTAAGCATTCAAAAATGGTGACAATTCTTGTCTATTTTGCATTGGGACTCTGGTGTTATTGTTTTATTTAACTTGTTGAAGATCAAGAAGTAAATAGATCTTCATTTATTGCCAAATAAACTGTTCATTGAGTATAACATATGCCAGATACTCTTTATAATTCATAGCATATATTAAGTACTCTTAATTCAATAAATATTTAATGACAAAACAGAATTAAGCCTCAGAATTGTACCATCTTAACTACTTTCCCTGTTGCTCCCCATATTCCAACAGTTTTGTTTTTCTTCACTGTTGGACCCCTCTTTCCTTAATGTTATAACCTAGATGGAAACATGTATGAAATGTTCATGGCTGAGGAATGAGAAGGACTCTCTAAGCCTGACTCAGAGATGAAAAACCATAAAGAAAAGGGATGGTAGTTTTTAACTGCTTATAAATTACAAGAAGCTTCTCCTTGGCAACTTCAAACATACAAACACTTTCCCACAATCAACCTCAATGTCACACAAAAAAGTTATTAGACAAAATGGTAATATGTCCATGCCTTCCCCAGACACCACCACGGGAACCCCTTGGGTGACAAAGCTGGGTTTATTGCTGATGCTTGGGAAAGTACACCATGGGGCAAGCTGTGGTGTCTCAGGAAAGAACCTGTAGTAGCATTTGACCTTTGGCTGGGTGATTCTGGTTTTTGGTTGGGTACTTGTCATGAAGCAGAGGCAATTCTGCAATTGGGTCTCTCAATAAATCTTACCTCTAGGAAGGGCAGACCAGAACAGGATAAAGATATAGCCAGTAAAGAAGACTCGGGACTGGCATTGTGGTACAGAGGGTTAAGC